TGTTATTTTGGCATGCATATATTTGGGGAGGATCCTGTCTGAAGAACTGTTATATATGAGGCAAGTTCCTTGAAGCTGTTCAAAGTTCAAAGTCCATACAGCAACCATATATTCGGATCTAACAGATACTCAAGCAGCATGATACAGCATGATAGCAAAGATGTATGTGTACATATTATATGGTCTCTGAATAGGAAGTTTGACTCCGATATATTTATAAGCATGACCTATATATATAAGATATAATATATATAGGTCATGCTTATAAATATATCAGAGTCGAGCACCTATGGGTCTCTGATATAACCAGTTCATGTGCCTTAAAGTTAATTATTGATTCTAGTAGCTATGCTAAATGATTTTTCCAAACATGTGATATTATCATAAGAAAAATGGCTTTATCTCATATGAACCTTAAGAAAGAAAACCATATTTTGTAGTGATTTTATTGTCCATATATCTCATGTGAAACATCCTACAAAAATGGCACCGTCAGGACCTCGAGAAACACACAAAACAGAAAAAGTGAGAACTGTATATAAAATATTCACTTTTGGTGGAAAAAATGAAATCTTTAAATCACAAATGTGTCCTTATCAATGCTGATTGGTGGGAACAAAATTTAAGGTCAAGGGTGTTCATAGTGATTCTAGTAATAGAAAAATAGTGAAGAAAAAATAGCCTGAAATGGATGAAATTCTCCCAAAACATGCATTAATGTCTTTGCACTCAGTGTGTCAACCACAAATTCAAAGGAGATGTGTTAAGGGAACTAAGTGGAAGATATGTTTTATTGAATCGTTGCATATACATACAGTGAGAGTACAAGTTTCTTGTCTTGTGTAATATGTTGCAATCATCAGTGATTATCATTATGATACCGTTGGTCTGTTTAGTTTAGTCCAGCCCTACTTGATGATAAATCTTTAATTTAGGGAATGTATACTTGATTTTGATGATAACTTATTCAGTGAAAATTATGTAATATCCCACCAGTATGTAATACCTTGTCTGTCGTCGATCCGTCTGTCCTGTCCATCCGTCTGTAATTCATTTTGTTTCGGAGCAGATCTTGAAAAATGTTCATTATTTCTTTCTGAAACTTTGTACACATCAGCCAAGTACTAAAGTGGTGCCTTTTGCTATTTTCAGAATACTAAACTTTTATTTCAATGGTTAGACTTAGAATTGCTTCCGGGTAAGGGTTTGTTTATGGATCAGAAAAATGATCTTAGGATTTATGTGGAACTGGTGGGATAATTATCTTCTGATGATTCTTGTTGTCACATCGATATACAATAAACCTGACTTGACTTGATATAATAACTACTTTTAAAGCAAATTTAAAATATATATACTTAATATAAACTCATGTGAAATAAAATGATATGGTAGACTTACCAGGACAGGCAGGCCATGGGCTCTTAATAGACAAAGGCTGATCCTTTTATATCATTGCATTCAAATTTTCCAAATTTGTTTCATTTGCAAATTGTCTAAATTTTCGAGACTGAACGACCTTTTCTCATTGAAAACTTTTACAAAATCACACAGATTAGCATTAGCAAGGGGGGCTGGTGTGTGTGTGTGTGTGTGGGGGTAATACTACACTAACTGAGAATCGCTTGCTCACTGAGCGAGAAGCGTATGTAAACAAATGAAGAGATAGAGACATGTGACAGCTGTGATTGGATGAAATAGTGTAAGATGTTTATGTTTTTTAAAAGCATATCCAACCAGCAATTAAAACTGACCACAATTTTAAGTATTCAGAGCTGTGATTTTCATCACCATGACTTATGCTTATTGTGTGTACAGATATTTTCCAGTAGGTGACATTTGGTGCGGATCTGGGGTTGATGTGTTCCGCTTCCTGTGCTCGCAAAACAAGCAGGACAAGTTGGCCAGATAGTGTGTTTTATGGTAGTTTAAAGGCCAGAGTGTACCCATGTGCACATGGAATGGCTGTTGATAGCATGGATTATTTAAAAAAAAATATAAGGCTACTATAGAAGTCTATGGGAAAACATTTGGTGGTGTGTAACCTGTAGGGTTCGAAAGCACTTTTCAATAATTCATACTTTTACATGATGTCCTGTGTTTATTTCACCATGGAAACATGTTAGCATTAATGTAGAGGCAAATTTAAAGGTACTGGGAGTAAAGATAGGGCTGTTTTGAGTGGAATAGATTGTTTTAGTGTCCAGAATATGAGCGTTGCTTACGTTTTGTTGTTTAGAACAGTGGGAAAAAGACCCTCACGGTGAGTCTTACCATCAAGTAGTAGTTCCCTGGCTTCTAAATTTGTTGGAACTGATGAATTTGACAACAAACTGGGTTAAAATCACCACTGACACAACAATGTGAGTGTCTAAGTTAATCTACTGAGGGTCAATTTGAAGTCAAATGATAAGAATATCATGAAATATGTTCACTGCTGACAGCAGAACATGTCACAAACCCTTGTTTTAAATGCAAACAGTGCAGTATATGATCAATTCTTTCTGCCTGTCCCCTTTTGAATATGCAACGACCTAATTTTTCTTTTTCCTTTTTAAAAATATACCCCTTTTTCACCCATAGGACTGTCAAAATGAATTTCTGTTTTATTAACAACTGTCTCATTGCTGTTATAGATTTCATGATTTGACATTTAATGTAATCTCAACACTATTTTCAGCTTGTAGGAGAATGCCTGTTGGTGAATGGGGAGGTGTATCTTCACAAATACAGCAGAAAAGAAGCCTTCACATCCAATGTGGTATTTTCGACAAGCCGTCCGAAGTCTGTTGTTGGCAGTGTCTAATCAAGCATACTCCCTTTGCTTGATATGCTTCACCGCCTTGTAGAAGTTGCAGTACTTGGACATGTAGGTACATATAGTACATTTAAGTGACCCAGTCCAGTTAAGGCACCACAATGTCTCACTACCAAATTCCATCACTCGGTCATCCTCATACATTAGAAATTTCTGACAGTGTCCCCTTAATGCCTCAGTGTGTAGTATTTCAGCTTCCCAGACATGAAATAAGGGCTGTACATCAATCCCAAAAGCTGCTTAGATGTAAATAATAACAACTGACCCTTGTGGAATGTAATATTATGGGTCTGAATTCACATTTTATTGACATGAGAGTGTTCGATATCTTAAAATTATCTCCCCTGTTTACCCAAATACATTGTGTCTTTCTCTAACCCAGTAACCCATAAATTACTGCAGAGGAGCTCTGTTTTTAGCTGATATTGCCAAATACTGTTAATTTTAATTAAAAATATTCAGTTTAGGGCAGGGTAACCAATACATTTCCAAAGTTATGTGGATTTTTTCACTTTGTTCCCTCTAAACTGGCTTATACATGAAATTGGCAAGTGTAACAGCCTCAAAACAATACACAGTCAATAGTTTTGAATTTCTGGAAGTATTTCAAAGTCTTAGCTTGATGAATCAATAGATTCAAGTGTAAGTTCTTATCATGCTGTGGTCTAAAAGTGATTTCATCTGTGGAAGGGTCATTTGGCTTGATCGACTAACAGGCGGCAGGGTACTGTGGTCAGTGTTTCAGACTGCTAGAGCATAATCCAACCCCTCACTTATTACATTCTGGCAAAGTTCATCATCCAGCCTTACATATGTCAGGATGTTAAAGCTGCTTAATGTTGAACCTGTCCAATTTCTGGCCTGAATTCCATGATTTTTGTCGTTCAAAATATAGTTTGGATTGATATGATCAAGGCAGTCCCAGTCATGCATGGAATTAACCCATGGCCCCCTTTTGTGAAATAAGAGTAAACTCCCATGGTATATGTATGATTTAAAAACTTTCTCTATTAATGCAGAAGTGCATTTTGTATAGCTTTGGTGAAATAGACATGATATAACTCTTACAGCTCTGTCAGTGCAGCAAATCACTATATTCTTGTGCCATATAGATATGTTGGACAGGAAAAAGTATTGAAGCTTCATGCAGTTTTATATTTTTTTCTGAGAAGTTACATGTATATACAGTACATAAGTCACAGATTTGCCTAGGGCAAATGTTTCTAAATTTCCCTACAGGTTATACTACACTAAATGAGAATTGCTTGCTCACTGAGCGAGAAGCGTATGTAAACAAATGAAGAGATAGAGACATGTGACAGCTGTGATTTGATTAAATTAAAACTGACCACAATTTTAAGTATTCAGAGCTGTGATTTTCATCACCATGACTTATGCTTATTGTGTGTACAGATATTTTCCAGTAGGTGACATTTGGTGCGGATCTGGGGTTGATGTGTTCCGCTTCCTGTGCTCGCAAAACAAGCCGGACAAGTTGGCCAGATAGTGTGTTTTTATGGTAGTTTAAAGGCCAGAGTGTACCCATGTGCACATGGAATGGCTGTTGATAGCATGGATTATTTAATAAAAAAATATAAGGCTACTATAGAAGTCTATGGGAAAACATTTGGTGGTGTGTAACCTGTGTGTGTGTGTTGTTAGGTTTCAAAGGGAGGTAACTCGATCATGAAATTGATAAAAATGCAGACCACATGTGAAAGTCACCCATTTTGAATTTGTTTTAAAATGCCTTTGTCACTTGAAAAAAAATATTTTAAGGTATGATTTATTAAGTATATACTTTTTTCTTTAAAATACGAAAGTTTCATTAGTGTAATAACACATTTTCCCCACAAAATCAAATTTTCAAATACATATTTCTGATTTCATTATAACAAAACCATTAAACCAAGTCTAGCTCTAAATATAGTCATTACACATCTTCCATTTAACACAGCCTGTAGTGCACATACTATTTCCCGTCTTTGTAGAAGGGATTTGCTTCCAATCAACGTAAACTGAGGGTATCCTCATGACCAGGTCCTGGGTTTCAGCCCTCACTGGTCGGGATGAGTTATCCGCCCTTACCTTGAGCATTGCCAAATTCTAGACATCTCATCCTCATTTATCAAACTCATCGAAAACATCGCATGTGAACCTGGACCTTCAATCTCCTACCTACCTGACACTGGCATTTACCAAAGATGAACAGGTGCACAGTTAAATCAGTTTATGAATGCTACAAGATGCACATATGTTTTAGAGTTCGATCGACAGTTCTTGCACTTTGCATTTACCGCGGGGCGGGTTTTCCCCACTCTGTCTGGAATTCGTCCCTGTGGCTGATTGGTTGACTTGAATGATAATGACCAATGAGAGGTGGGTTCATTCAGGACCAATCGTATAATTCCGGTAATGGACAATCTTCATTCGGTCATACTCGGGTCGTTTTCCGTTACAAATTCGAGAATAAGCTGCAAACGGAATCCACTGATTGAGTCACGGCGATTGTATGTACGCTTCAGACATATATGGATCGTGGTTTTCCCTAACATAAACTAGTGTGTATCAATACTACGTATCGTTTTCATATGATATAACTGAGCACATGTTTACTGCGCCAACAGTTTAATTACGTGGTCAAGCCTTAACTGTGGGCAGCACCTGCTCCCTCGACCGTAACGGACTCAGTGACCGGGCAGCTGTCTACCTTGGAAGCATTTCTTCAACCCAAACAACGAGACATTCCTCATGTCTGCAGTAAATACTCAACATGATAAATTAAGGTCTGGTGTGGCAAATGCATTACATGTTATGTAATATGAACATGGAATTGTAGCTGAGATGCAAAACATGTATCGATCAAGGGATTAACCGATAACACATTGATTGATTAATTACTTTTATCTTTCACAGATGATTTGTCAAAAGGTAGTGTTTATGTTTGTCGAGTTACTAACGTATACTGAATACACCCACCCACGTAAAGTGCCTATGTAAACATGTAACGTCCTTCCTTCAAACGATATTAACCGACAATACGTTGATTTAACTCGGTAACATGTAACATGCAACATAATTATATCTCAGACAGGTAACATGCAACATGTTTATTCCTCATACAAGTAACATGTTTATATTCCAGACAGGTAACATGCGTTGCATGTTTATACCTCAGTCGGGTAAACTTCCGATGTTAGCTACGCAACATGTTTATACACGTGCAGACATGTAACACGCAACGTGCATGGGTATAAACGTGTGTGTGCCTGTAACATGTTACCTGTCTTGAGTATAAACGTGTATAAACGTGTGTTACCTGTCTGGGGTATAAACGTGCTGCGTGTTACCTGTCTGGGGTATACACGTGCTGCATGTTACCTGTCTTGGGTATATAAACGTATCGTGTGTTACCTGTCCAGGGTATACGTGCTGCATGTTACCTTGGGTATGTCTGTTGACCTGCATACACGTGCTGCGTGTTACCTGTCTTATAAACGGGTATAAACGTACCTGTGTGTTACCTGTCTGGGGCATACACGTGCTGCGTGTTACCTGTCTGGAGCATACACGTGCTGCTGTTACCTGGTATAAACGTATACACGTGCTGCATGTTACCTGTCTTGGGGTATAAACGTATTGGGTGTGTTACCTGTCTTAGGTATAAACGTATACACGTGCTGCATGTTACGTGCCTGTCTTGGGTATAAACGTATTATTGTGTGGGCATACGTTACCTGTCTGGGGTATACACGTGCTGGTGTTACCTGTTACCTGTCTTGGGTATAAACGTATTGTGTGTTACCTGTCAGGGGCATACACGTGGCATACACGTGCTGCGTGTTACCTGTCTTGGGTATAAACTGTGTTATTGTTGTATTTGTTACCTGTCTGGGGGCATGCACGTGCTGTGTGTTACCTGTCTGGGGTATACACGTGCTGCGTGTTACCTGTCTGGGGTTAACGTAGTGCGTGTTACATTCTTGCATCTGTTACCTGTCTACTTCTAATGAACAGTTTTATTGTTACCTTGATTGGGTCTACGATTGTGTATTGTTACCTGTCTGGGGCATAAAGTGTGCGTGTTATATAGAGGCATAATATTAAGTTCAGAGTGAGTGAGTATGGACTTACACCGCTTTTAGTTATATTCCAGCAATATCACGACGAGGGACACCAGAAATGGGCTTCCCCATTGTGCCCACGTGGAGAATCGGACCCAGGTCATCGGCGGACGAGCGTGACGCTTTAACCATAAGGCTACCCTACCGCTCCTATCAGTGAGTGAGTGAGTTTAGTTTTACGCCGCACTCAGCAATATCCCAGCTATATGGCGGCTACCGCTCCTATCAAGTTCAGAAACAAACTTATATGACGCTTAGGCTTTATGCATATTTTGTATGGCAACAAGTGTAACTTGAGATAAATTCTTAAAAGGAGCGTGTTTTGCCAGTATGCCGTTCCATCATTTCGCGTCTCAATACAAAGCGAGACACATTCAATTTTAATATCGGCCACAACTGTATGAAAGTGGACATGAATTACAGTTTTGCATTAAAGCTTTGAATAAAATCAACAGTGAATGAGTGTGCTTAGTTTTACGCCGCATTAGTAATATCCCAGCTATATAACGGCTACGCTGATATGTGTTCAGAAACAAACTTATATGACACTTGGTTCGATTCACAGGTTCAATACTCAGTGTAACTTTGGAGATAAATCTTCCGTGTTTATGGCTTATAGTTATTGCTGACCCGTGAAGGTCCGATTAGTTTGAGCCTTCAGTACAATGCTTGTCGTAGAGTGGCGACTATCGGGATCTGGGTGAATCAGGATGCTGGCAATTTTGGTTGACACGTGTCATCGGTCTAATTTGCGCAGATCGATGCTCATGCTGTTGATCACGGGATTGTCTGGTCCAGACTCGATTATTTACAGACCGTCACCATATAGCTGGAATATTGCTGAGGGCGGCGTAAAATTAAAGTCACTCACTCACTCACTCACTCACTCACTATTCTTATTGCTAATTTTGAACCAGTGCTTATACTAGATGTCCCACCGATGAAATTCGTCACAAACGAAAGGCCGGTAAAGTGTTCACGACCAATACATGGAATGCCAAATATATAAAAGAACCGTATATCATGTGTCACATTTAATGAAATCAGTCAATAATACTTTTCTTCCTTGTGTCGCCACGATACAGCTGGTGGATACTGATGGATATGTGAGCAAGCTGTGCTCTATAAACAACCTGTCATCAGCGCCTTTAACCATAAACTAAATGTGAACGATGTGCTGGCATTACTGTTGCTAGGCAACTATTCTTTGAAGGAAAGGTGCATGGAACTGAAATGAATAAGGAAACGTACATAACACACTTTGATGAAAAAAAAGACATTAAAAATATACGGCGGTTGGTAGCCCAGTCTGCCGAAATGCCAACAGGCGAAGGCGACCTCAAAAGCACCTAACTGAAGAAAGCACCTAACTGAAGAAGAAGAAGAAGAAGGTAGCCCAGTGGTTAAAGCGTTGGCTCGTCACGCCAAAGACCAGGTTTGATTCCCCGTTGTTGTTTTTTTTGTTACAATGTATTTTTTATCTATTGCTCGTGTCCCCTGTCGTGGTATTGTCCCACTATAGCTAAAAGAAGACTTGAAATCATACCTAATCAATCATATCAGTATATAGTATGACGATAATGTTTTACAGATAAAAATAAAATGCAACAGAAAGAGGTTGGTAAAGCTCATCACCGCCACAGGTACCCTTGCCCACTCGACACACAGCCCAGACAGCAAAGTGGGACTTCTCCTTGTGAACAGTCACTAGCCGAGAATGAAACATACAATGATTTTGTTTAGCTTGATAACGGTGTAAGAATCTACAGCGAAACGTCTCCCTATGCAATAAACAAGAAGTTGTAATCCATGAAGATGCATGTTTCCTTTTTGACTCACCAACTTCTAGAATGCCGATCAAACAACTCCCTAGTCGAACCCATCAAGACTTTTCCGGAGAATATGTAGACTCCCTATAAGGCAGCCTTCAGCAATACCCAGAGTGTCAGAAGGGCTGTACGCCGCGGAGAACACGGACACTCACCTGATCTGTTGCCAAACATTTGGGAGCGTCAGAAACTGTTGTACGTAGTCACCCTGACGTGTCCTTTCTCTATCCAAGAACTACAGACAAGTCTAACATTTTGTCTCTGCATGTAATCGTTTACTGTTGCTGGTTGATGACAGTATATTAAAACATATGACCAGTTCCTTCCATTCACCACATCACGTGATCCAGCAGGGAGGACATATAGTTCGAACAGAAGGAGACCCATTTACGTTTCCTTGGTAACAGTTACATACATTGTTATATATATTGTGTATGTGACAGTGTTATTCATTGTATCACAATGTGTGTAACAATGTTCCTTTATTACATTATACCAGTTGAGAGTTAGTGTGGGGCAGTGGTGTGCTCTATTTTTTAGTTTTGTGCTGTACTAAAACACAGTTCTGGAATGTACTACAGCCTGTGGGCCTCGTAAGCATGTTTCTCCTTCCCTGTCTAGGGTAAGCATGTAGCCTGTTCCCCGCGTGAAGTAAACATGTCCTTAAAACCATCAAAGGCTATCAGTTATGTTCATATCAACATACACGGCATCTTTGAAGTCAGCAGCGGTGGAGTAGCCTAGTGGTTTCCATTTCCCACATAGGGTACAATATGTGAAGCACATTTCAGCGATATTGCTGGAATATTGCTAAACGCGTCGTGAAACTAAATTCACCCACTCACTTTAAAGTCACCAGAAGCGACAAAATGACATACAGGTGATCTTTATTTTATTCCGTCATGTTACAAAAATATAGTTACAACCTAATTTTGTGATACTGAACCATCATTGTCAAATATACATTCTGTGGGTATATATATATTATTATTATTATTTTGATATTCGTGAATAATGTAATTACATTAGATAAACATTTTCAAAAGCATATATAGAACCAAGAACCAGTGAACAGTAGTAACATTGTTTATGCAAAATAAACAGTAGATAATACAAGAATGTTTAAATTCATTCCATCCAAGTCAGTCCAGTTTCTTTGCAGAAGAGGCCCATGAAGGGAGGCATGTATCTTCACCAAAGCATATACTTCATCAAAACGCGAGGAATAATGTAACAGGTGAATGATGGACCTGACGCAGGAACAAGGAAAAGCCCAGACACGTTGTGTATACAACACAGAAGAAGTTGACATCCACAATATGGTGTCTTATACTTGAATACCAACGTCTATATGCCTCTCAAGAGGCCAATGTAACAAAGTATAAGTGCCGTACGTTTTATTGCAACAAAAACAAGCACATACATCATGTGAGTGAGTGAGTGAGTCTTACGCCGCTTTTAGCATTATCACGGCGGAGACATTAATCATCTCTGGTGATATTTTGTGTAGTACAGAATTCACTTTCTGAAATGATTATCAACACTTGACATTCGATTTACTGAACATAATACAATTAATGTTTATGTGAATTGACAAATCTGAACATTATGGTTAGCATTTGTTATATCACTTGGTTATGAAGCAGTACAAAACGTCATCATGGAAAAAACGATTTGCAGTCAAGTAGGTTAGACGTAAGTCAACATGGAGATAGGCCATCACAAACAGGTATGATACGTATGCGAGGTAAATATCATCCCAAAGATGGGCTTACAATGTCGTCAGTGCACAGGCACACAGTGTGTCCTCAACGAGTCCCCGTATACTAATGTGTGAGCAACAATTCCTACATAATCGTGTGTGCTCAACGAACCCTATGTAATAGTATGTGCTCAAAGAGAAGCCCTTATATAATTATGTGCTCAATGAGTCCATATATAATAGCGTTTGCTCAAAATGAAGCCACTGTATAATAGTGTTTGTTCAACAAGCCACTGTATAAAACCTCCAGCTTCCAACTAGTCATCAACACTTAATCCACTTGTAAAAACTGTCGATAGGCAATTCACACCCTATTACTATATTTGGCAACAAAATACATTATTTTGCTTTAAATTATTATCTTCACCGCAAATCTACACTACCACCTGAATACACTAAACAGCAAACAAAGCAAGTCCCAAATGTATGGTAAAATATGTGTTCGGTTTGATACAGGATGAAACCCATTTCATTGAAAGCTTAAAGCCTGAATTCTGTTACGCTAGTACAGGTTTGATACTTGACAGTTTTGTCACGCAGGTGCCGAAACAGACCCTCAATTGTAAGCTTACCACTCTGCAATGATATTTGTTTGTCAAACAAGCTATATAGTTCACACAGCTGTGGCCAGAACATGTCAATCTTCGAACTTTGTTCTTTGTTGTGGTGACGATGACGCGAGCAGTTGCATAACAATCTGGGTCTACGACAGGAGATCCACACGATTCACAGGAGTTGTTGTCGTCAAGCTTAAAATGATAACATCCTGGTTTGGGGCAAGACTCGTAGATTTCAACCTCAATTTCATCAAGTGTGCCCTCTTGCAAACCGGCGATAGAGATGTCGAATTCTGTTGTTCGAGTTTCTGAAACATATGTTTCAAGTAAAGCGCGCGAAACATATATCGAGACTATAATATATATTTATATACACAATATTCAATTTAAAGGAAATGGTCGTAGACGGTAGATTGTTACACAGAGCCATAATTTCGTGATTTTGGGATATACAACTTTGTATAATATAGATAAATAGTTACGGGTCTATCCTGCAATTTCAAGGAACAGAGTGTATCAATATATAAAACAGAACATTATGTATCAGGTGGCATATCATTCTGTCACGTCAGTAATATTTACCATATACGTTATATTTTCATTTTACACTACCCTAGGCACTACATCGAAGAATAACTTAGTTGGTTGAACCACCTCACCCAGCACGCGGCGTTTTGCCTCAATACTTGAAAGGATAAAAGGGTGGTACCTTCACAATTGTCTTCCTGGTGGTTGTCACCGAGGATACATCGACGGATTCAGATTTCTTCCTTTTGCATCCTGTCATGTGGATGACGTCACCACTTTTAAGGTTGAGCGCTTCATCTTCCCAGACGTCAACATACATGGAACCTGACCGGTCTGCCAGTTTGATTTGACGGTGCCTCAGTAACTTCCTTTCATATGCGTTTTTTTCAGTGATGACCGATTGCTGTAACATAAGCCATATTAACATAAAAACATATATAACCTATGATAGGGTGGAGAACAATAGGAATCATGCATTGAATCATTAAGGCACGTGCATACCAAACTCCTACCATTAAGATAGCAGATATATCCTAATTACAGACGAAGTTGTCGGCACCCGAGTGAATGAAACATTGGCTTTGCAAGATCAAGTTTAATACCAGGGTCATCTTCATATCTCCACATCATGATATCACGAAGTCTCTACTGACTCATTCAATGACTCGTGCCCTGATGGAAGGTTATACTGTGAACGCCATTCAAAACAAGAACGACAACTCTATCTGTGCTTATTCCAGCAACAAACAAAACTTCCATAGGTTTTGCACCTTGACCAGCTAAACCAAATAAATTCAAAGATTGGTACTGAGTACATGGACCCATGGCGTCCTGGCTAGAAACCAAATCACCGAGCTTGACCACAGGAGGATTGGAAAAAACAATTAGTTCTTGAGATATTTAATTAATAATAATAATAATAATAATACAGACTCCTTCGCCTGGATGAAGTCGGCTGTTCTCAAATATGAAACTGAGGGCTTCTCTTTTTGCTGCTCAGGACCAGTCACTTTCCACTCGTAATCGCCTCAATGTGATTCTTAAAGAAAATATTTACATGAAATGCCGACTGTGTAACGAATTTACAGAGACTGTCCAACACCTTGTTAGTGGATGCCCTTCCTTGGCACAAACAGCATATCTTAAACGACATGATGGCATGGCTCGTTGCTTTTACAACCGTCTTTGCCATGTCTGTGGCTTTGACTCCGAGGTCCATCCAGGGTACGCTCCTGAACATGTCCAGGGCGTCATGGAAAATGATGCTTTCAAACTTTTGTGGAATATGCCCATAAACAGTCTCTGAAGAATTCCTGCCAACAAACCTGATTCCTTTTGATGCCAACAAACTCTAATTTTGTCCCTTTTGATAAAGCCAATGGATTTATTTGACCTCGCCTTTATCATTGAAGTTTGTCGTCAGGTCCCCATTGTTTTGACAGCACCTCCTGATCTCTTGGCGCAGATCAGGAGAGTGCCCGGGTTCTCCACCGGGAGCACAGCCCTTCTGACACTCTGGGTAATGCAAAAGGCTGCAGTGTTGGTGAGCCTTCATATTCTCCGGAAAGTTCTTGGTGGGTTCGACTAGGCAGCGTTTCCTGGGAGAAGTCCCATTCGCTGTCTGGGCTGCGTGTAGAGGGGGCGAGGGCCCTGAGCTGATGATGAGCCTTACCAGCCTGACTGTGCCAGGATGACCCGAACCATCTCTGCTTTATATTATCTTTAATCTGTAAAACATAATTAATAATAATCCGAACGATTACAATAGGTCTACTGCCTAGGGGCAAGGAGCCCTTATTAATGAAAAATTCGTCGATTCAGTATAAGCGGAGTTGTCGAATGGAGGACGAGTCTAATTGGAGGGCGAATGGTGACGAATGCACTCTGAATCCACACGGGGAACTTGTGAACTGATGTGTCGCTTTTCATTTACTAAACCTTGACAGCTATGGTGATTACAATGTCTATCTTACCTTCACGATCTTTCCTTTTAGTGCAACCCATAACTTGGGCTTAAGGGCAAGGGCTTCCTGGATGGAAACAACATCTCCTCTTCCAAAGGCTTCCTCAACTAAGGAAGGATCAACTTCGATTTTTGCAATGCTTGTGGCTTTTGATTTCTCATTTAGAAATATCACATTTCCGCTCCAGCTAACGTTTTCCAAGAACAGGCTAGATTTAACCTTGATTTTGTCAAACAGGTTTCTGTTTGTGACACAGATGTCGACGGCAGATGTCTTGTCAGCAACCTCAGCCATAAACTGCTCCTTGCCATTTCGCATTTCGATTTTGTCCCTGTGTACTACTGTTACAGACACTGCAAGATTGGATGTTTTTTCAGCCGTCTTAACGTCTTTAAGGTTTATCCGCTGGAATATAAAAAAACTTTTTTTACACCATTTGTAACAATTACAAACTTACATATTATAAATATGAAACATAAGCGCATGTAAAATTGTCTTTAGATTTTCTGCCGAAATGGATTCATTTTTGGTCGAAAAAGGAAAAATAGTAAAAGGTGAAAATTCATGGATGTCATCTTCTTTATGAGAACGTTTCGGAGTACATGCTTACTCATTCATCAAAATAAAGAAGTTGACATCCATAGATTTTCACCTTTCATGTGTATCACTTCTAAATGCCATTAAGAAGAAGAACATAGTGTTGAAAATATTATCACTGGACAACCGCCTATCCCCACGTCTTCGTGAAAAGGTTGAGCATGTCCTGCTATACCGATCCCTTCATGTATGTCAGGTACGGATTGTATTGCAAGTTGTAACAATTGATCAAACAGATAAACGCACTCACTCTATCTTCACCTGTGTTTCCATCCATATCTTCATGGTCATCCTCCATTTCCACTCCAGTATTAGCACTTTCTACTGAAGATCAGGATGTATAATTAATGACACAGTATTCAGACATATTGACTGCATCTCAAACGATTCTGTTCCGTAGCTGAAGTCTTGCAGCATTCACAGATGTGACTTCCGTGAACATTATTCGTGTTTTAAACAAAGTTGATCAGTTGTCGTATCATCAATTAATTTCAGCCAGCTGTTTAGCCCCAGCTTACACAACTGATAGTATTTAAATATTTCCTTCTTTGTATAGATAGAGATTTTAAATTAGATAAAGTCGGAACCGTACAATGGACTGCTTAGGAATCCTTAGCAGAGATTTCTTATGGTTATGAAAAGCCTTTGTAGCTAAAACAGCAGTCAGTCTGCTTACCCTTCTCCAAACAGTCTTGAAGATGGTCTTTACCTGATCTTTACAAGACCTTTCATGCTTAAAGTCACAGCTTGGCCTTTGCACCGAGAAGCCAACCAAGACTCCGAACATTTTACTGCTTTGACTTATAATGTATCGTGTTCATGGTTTAGAGTGAGGACTCTGTTTGATCAAGATCAAGATAGTTTATTGGACATACTTAATGACCCTAATACTTAATGACAGGCAAAGTTTGGACAGAAGAACTCAGACACTTGCTTTATGTGTTAAAACAGGGCTAATTTTACATGAACAGATTTGTCTTCTGATGATAAACTAAGGGGCAAAAGAAACTTATCACTTTTAAATTAACGTTTTCGCAATTACAGACACTGCCATAAAGTGAAATGTTTTCAGAAAACATTCGCCAAAACACATTCTGTGGTCGAGTAGCAAGGCATAAGTCCGTGATTAAGTGAATTTCGTGCTGGCATGAAAAATTCCAAAACAGCATAAATGGAGTTTGCGGAAAATACCCCGTGCCCAATTTTAAAATACAGATGTGGAACAGTGCAACCATGCAGTATCAAAAAGAACATCACAGACATGCCGAGACTTTCACAAGCCGAACGTGACAGAGCCATTGGTATGGCAGAAATGGGGGCCTCACAACGTCACATTGCAAGAGTCTTCACTTGCAGCCAAGCAACCGTCAGCAACTTGTTGAGCCGTTACCAACAGACAGTCCAGACACAAAACCGTCCAAGAACGGGTAGACCAAGGGTTACCATGCCAGGTGAAGACTGCTACATCCGGACAATACACCTGCGGAACAGATTCGTCACGGCGACGTCAACGGCGGCGATGGCCTTGGGGCACCCAATCAGCAGATGAACTGTACTACGACGACTCCGTATGGCTGGCATCAGAGCTCACCGTCAGTTTCGTGGAATGGCCTTGACCCGTCAACACTGTCAACGCAGGTTACAGTGGGCTCGAACTGTACGTCGGTGGCAGCGACGTGATTGGGAGAGATTTCTGTTTACAGACGATAGTCGATTCATCATGTTCCGAAATGATGGGCGAGTTCGTGTTTACAGACGTAGGGGTGAGCGACTGGCGCCAAACTGTGTCCAAGAGGTGCACCCTTTTGGTGGAGGCGGTGTCAAAGGTACAGAGACGAAGGCTTGAGACCATTTGTGTCACCATTTGTGCGTCAACAGCCGCAGGGTTCGATCTTGCAACAGGACAATGCATGTCCGCATACTGCCAGGCTCTTATAAGACCACTCAACAACGTGAACGTATTGCCCTGGCCAGCACGATCTCCGGACATGAATCTTTTGGTTGATCTTGATAGACAGTTGAGACAACGGCAACCTCCACCAGCAAATTGACAACAGCTCGAATATGTTCTCTTGGGTCTGTGGCACAGAATACCTGCTGACGTCATCCGGCGACTACGCTATCCACGAGGATACACGCAACTGAAGGCTTGGACAGTTCCATAAGGTGACTTGAAACATCTTGTGAATGGGTAACCTGTGATTGGGTAACATTTCATTTTGACCCCACGTCTCTTGTGCTTGATTCCGTGACCAGATTACTATCGATTGACATTTGATGTTTCATGCTTGGTAAATGGTTATATTTGTATAATAACCAGTATTTCTATCATATATGTCTTGGTGTCTTCTTTATGAGCCTCAACACCAGGTTTTTGCCCATTAGTTTATAAATCTACCCTAGTAGGTTGACACAACTATTTCTGTGTGGAATATACACCTTTCTTAAATCGACAAACATATGAAAGATGATATCATCTTCGATGTTGCCTATGTTTCATTCATTATATCTGTCAGAATAAGTCTGAATGTTGTAACTGTAACCTTTTTATGTTTCTTGTTAAAAATGATTGATAAATATCTCTTAGGTTCAATAATTGTTTTTATGGATCTATATACACTGCATTTAGAACTTAAACAAAGGACATTAATAACTTTTAACAAAACATGTTTCGAGGTTTCAAATGAAATTTAGAGACTATCACTTCGGTCGAACATTCATGTAATTTCCAAACAGAGTGCGTTTATCTCCTAATAAATGGTAAGCCGTTACTGGGGCAAGTGAATTTTGCGGATTGACGACCCCTAGGCTCGACAGGAAATGCATGTTATTTCATACACGTTTATGACAGTGCTAAATGAGGCAAATGCCGGACGTGTTTAATTAATTATCATTAAGACTGGTCAAACGTTAAAATACGTTATTAACAAAATTGGGACAGGTAAATCTTAGATTTGAGCGGTAGTTTCATTTTCTATCGTCCATAGGACCGTAAGGTAAAACGTGCTACTGGTAACAGAAGGGACAAAACCCTTTCCACATTTATGAGAAGTCTCTGCTAAAAGCAAAACCTTGTACAATTGTGACTATATCATGAACATATAATTGTTTCTGCAGCATTACAGCTGTACGATTGCTTGTAAACAAATTGAGTCTGGCCCCGACAATTCAGTGAACACTGTCGCATTATATTTTTAGACAAACTACTTATGCCTAGGTCACATATCCACTTTGCCTGGAAAGATCAGTTTCAATGCCCAGCCGGGCTGAAAATCGGCAAAATTGAGAAAAAGACGGGGAGCTGGACGATCATCCGGGGGCATCGGTTGTTTTTGACATCAAAAAGACCCCTTTGACACATCGTAGACAAATCGGCAGAAAATAACTCACGTGTTATTTTCTTACGGCGACCGGTGGTCCACACTCCCATTGGTAACGGATCTGTGGCACATCCTCCGGCAACCCACCAGTGACCCAACAGGCACCTGCCTGACGATTTGTTCAGTGCGCTGGTGTGGTATGGCCACGGGAGAATAACAGAAAGATTGACTGCCCGGAATCAATCAATACTCGGATTGTTCCTAACGTAGTCAGCAGATTAAACTAAATCAGAAGGCGACCAACCATGGTCTGGGAAAGCATCGAGCAAACGCCGCACGGGTATCATTCAGACAACGGGAAAGCAGCAAAGGTCAGCAGGATGCCTGACCCACCACACTTGCCGAGGCTGACCCGGCTCCGTATGTAGTATGCCCGAGCCCCACATTCATTCTTGCAGCGCTGTTGCCGGGGGGAAGAGAGGGTGGCAAGACTAGAGTAGCGTCAGGGGAGGTGTTGGATCTGGCCTTGGCTGTTGCGTCATCTCGCTATGTTCATCATATTAGCAGCTTAATGATGAAACCCTTGTCATGCCGACAGTACTTTATTCATGTATTCTTGTAATCGTTTGCTTAGGTTCTGCATTCAAATTTCGGACTAGTGAATTATTTTTTGGGCAAGTAACTTTCAGCATAGCAAGCCCAACTGGGTAACAAAATTTGGAAACTATTTCGCACACTGCCCACATCTATAAGAAATCTCTGCTAAAAACAGAGTCGATTGTACAATTGTGACTATGTCATGAGCATATATTTGTAACAACTGTACGATGTTGTTTGTAAACAAATCGAGTCTGGACCAGACAATCCAGAGTCGCATTATATTTTTAGACAAACTACTTACTCTTCATGATGCAGGTCTGAAGATGTTCCTTAATATGATTTTGATCCTCCTCGAGTCCTTCCATGAAATAATCAAAGTCTCCAGCCGGCCTTCTCGTCAACAACAAAACAAGTTTTTCTATTTTCTTACTGTTTCCTGAAATAACGTTCATTTCCTCCATCTGCGCTGGTGTGAGTACTTTCTTCGCGAAAAGATGGTCTATGAGTTTTGTACCATTCAGTTGTAATTTGGATTTCAGATATTCAAATTCGTCCTGGAGTAGTTCAAAGGGGTTTCTGGTTGACATGTTTCCTGAAACAGAGATAATTGAGGTTTCTCCATTTGTGTAAATGTACCAGGTCCAGTTTTCGGTTATTCCTCACATGTATAGTGTTTACTTTACATTGTTTATTGTGAAGGCGTTTTCACATGGTGCAGACAAGCTGTCAAATACTGTTTTTCTTTGACATTGACGTTATATATTTTCAATCATTTACTCACAGTTTTGACTTGCTCTTTTCAATACAACATTATGTCTTTGGTGTGCTAGGAATTTTTGACAGGGGTTTGGAATCGCATATTGCGCTCCGATGATGATCATTTTATACCAAAGCAACATTCTTCAGGGCCTCTCCTCTACAGGCCAGTTTTCACTCTATAGACCAGTCGAGCCTTCCCCAAAGTGAAGGGCAAAAGCACGTTGCATATTTCTTAAGTGTTCATTTTACACAAAAACTTCTTATAGTGATCTTTCTACAGGAGAGCCTTCCCCTTTGGTAAAAAGGAACCTTTGTATCTTTCTGGCCTGACTTTGGAAAAGGAACCTTTGTACGGGTACCCTTCAGCAGTACAAAACAAACAGAACCATTATGTCCTACACACTACATAAGAAAAGTGTGGACTGCCTTGTTTATGATGTGTTTTAAAAAATGGTCATGAAACAAATAGATGTGTGCACAATGATTATTCTATGACGTCCATGAAACCAAGTACCTCCAATCTTTCCACTCATATCAGTGAACAGAACCTTGAAGTGTTGGTTTTGGTTGTATAATTTCGTTAATTGTTTATTTTCAGTTTCCCCCCAAAACAAGTTGGATTTAGGTTCACAGGGTAGTGTTTGTTTTGGGGTAATAGGTTAAAACCCGTTGGACTTATATATACCGAGAGAAACAAATAAAAGACCACAGAGAAATTCAAGCGGTTCTTCAATATGTTCGAGTTTTCATCACCAGCTTTAAATAGCGCTGTCGGAGGAAATCTGAGAATCAATAAACACTACCATGAAGTGATGTTCCCTCATTTGCCATTACGTATATAAACAACATTTATTTCAAGAGCTATCTAGTAACGTATATATGTCCGGTTATTTACAAGTTGGTTTAGTTAGTACTTAATGACACACATAAGATACACAACATGACGCCCACAGACTTAAAGTTGTTTCATGTCTTCGTATGTTCAATTCTATTATACCAGTAGGTTAGCAACGCAACCCGTCGTACACGATAAACGACCTAGCTATGTTGATAACAGCGTACGAAATTAGATGAACTCAAGTGTACTCTTTAAGTTTGCTGTTGTATAAAAAAGCACCATACGCAAACATTACTCGGTTTGATTTCTGGTCACTGAAAATATGTATATCGGTTTTTGTAGCAGCTGTGGCCAGAACACTGTCAATGTTCGAATGTTGTCCTTTGGTGTGGTGACGATGACGTGAGCAGTTGCATAACAATCTGGGCGTCTGACAGGAGATCCACGCGATTCAGAGAGAGAGAGAGAGAGAGAGAGAGAGAGAGAGAGAGAGAGAGAGAGAGAGAGAGAGAGAGAGAGAGAGAGAGAGAGAGAGAGAGAGAGAGAGAGAGAGAGAGAGAGAGAGAGAGAGAGAGAGAGAGAGAGAGAGAGAGAGAGAGAGAGAGAGAGAGAGAGAGAGAGAGAGAGATAATATTTAACGTCACATCGGCAATATTTCAGCCATATCGTGACGGGAACATTTTTCATTGTAATGGAATATGTATATATTATAAAACCTGTCATCGAAGGACAGTAAAGCAACTAGAGTATCACAGATATATATATGTAAAACTGGTAATTGAATCTAAAACATTTTAACCATAGGGGACAACACAATCTAAAAATGGGCTATAGATCGCTAACAACTGAAGGTAGATCACCATACTAGGGACCATGGGGACTTACAGTACATTTGCTTCCTGCACGGGCCCTAGCTGGATTTATATCATCCCCTCAGCCGTTAGTAATTAAGACATATCTAGCCATACATTAAAATTACAAATATTCTACGATTAAAAAACGGAAAGTTGAAATTTACTTTGAATGTTTTGGGACTTACGTACCCTCTCAGGAGGACAATAATTCTACAGTACTTTAAGAGAGAGAGAGGGGTGTTATCGGATTTGCACGTAAAACAGAATATGACGAGGTTTGGTCTTGAATTTTATTCCGTGGTTAAGTTACTGTAACATGATGCATGGTTGAAATTGCAACAAAAATCTTATGTGCAGGTGTGTACAAACTGACGTATATGATGAGGACACGTACGACCTCACGCTGGTTTTATCATTATAGAACGATGTGCACATGAAACAAGCAGCTTGAAGATATTCATTCTATTTATTGCACAGCAACAATTCTCTACCAATACGATCAGTTCACAGTGTAACCCAGGAGTCGTACAAACCAGTACATACATTATACCTGTAGATCAAGCAAATGATCAAATACATTTCAAACGGGACATAAAGGTTCACCCTACCTTGTGCTTGCGCCATTGCTATGACAGTGATCTAATTATAAGCAAACTGCCTGGATCAGGTCAAGTTGGACTTTTCCCACTCGAACGGATAACCCAGTGTCACCGTGTACATATTCAGATTAAAAACATCAAAGTTTCCAAAGTGTAGCACGGTTACTTGCACTGATGCTAAACATTTGGATTGCTAATTTCATGTTGATGCGTTGAAATCTGGTCATAATTTGTATGTACTATAACGTTTTCATGTCTATTGTGCCAAATGTCGGCCATTTTGAAAAATGACTGCCATGGCTGCCTTTGGCTTATATAGTAATACTTCTACTGTAGTAGCGGATATGGGTGAATGTTGGTGGGTGGGTGGAGCGCACTCAACACAACGCTACTCGTGGTCACAGATGACAGCCATTTTATTTATCCATTAAAAAGGAATGTTTGAATAACTCTGAAAATATACATAAATATAACTATTTGAACATAAAGGTATAATATACCTTACATATACATGTATTACACTTTCTATATAGTCTTAGAATACAGCTAGCCCTGACAAAACACGTACTAGCATAAATACATCTTTAAATATGAATAGCAACATGAAAACTGTTCATACATATATCATTTATGACATTCAATTTTTATATTACAAATATACATGAAGAAAATATATAGAGTTTATTACATACAAGATCATAAAATACACTTACCACTGTGGCAATGAGTGTACACAAGCTCTCAGAGCAGTCAAGGATCATCAATCATCACGGCGTATTCTAAGAAAAATTAAAATACAACCTTGATAATACTAATAATGGTATATAAAATAAGTTATAATAAAAGCAACAAATCTCACATCCATGCCACCCTCACTATTTCATACCACATTTTCATACGATTATACATTTACACAATATGTTAAGTCATAATTTAGTTTTAATTAGGCTTAGACTGGTATTTACCTACCGCATACGCCATGTTAAATGTAAATAGCTAATTGATATTTAATGATATAATTTAGATAAATTACAAATCCAACCAACTGTACTGATGGTTGGAATACAATAGATACATTTAACTACACACCGATGCATTAATGTAACACTTCTTTAAGAAATACACTATATGCGATACCATATATACACATACAATATATGCACTAACCTGAATAATAAGATCCTCATTACAAAATCCAGCAATGTTCCACGAAAACACAAATCGTAGTGATCTGATCCTCCAGTCACCTTTAAAACTAAAAAGGCAATAGGTGGCAAGCTGACCAGAGAAACTGAGGCAGAAGGACAAAAGAAGCTTGTGCAGAGTGTAAGCGCATGGGTCAGAACCTGGCCTCACCCAGTATATGGTGGCTATTGTTAATTGAGTAATTGCATAAGTGCAGGGATACATTTATCTGAGAGGGTTTGTTATATTTTATCTGTAAACTTAAAATCTGACACCTATACAATATACAATGACTATATACAAGTACTTAAAATTGAAACTTATAAGCTTTGAAACTAATAATGATTAAACCATGGCTAGGCCACATACTTCCCCTCCCCATGAAATGACGTCCTCGTCATTTGGTAGTTCCATCCCAGAATGGAAATAAAAGCCTGAGAAAGACTACCACTCAGCCTTTCTAGAACACCAATAGCTGCAAGTTCTTGAATGGCTCTGGATGTCCTGTCGATATTAGCATCTGAACCCTCGCACACTGTGGCTCATGACATACTGCCCTGACGTCATCCAAGGAGGCTTCTTCGTTTGTTTTCCTGAACGTCTTGGTGCAGGTTCAGGTGGAGATCTTGGTATAGATGCAGCATCAGCCGTTTCATCATCTATTCCGGAAGCTGTCTGGGCTCCAGGTTCCTCCCGTTCTGTTCTGTTCTCAGCAAGATTCTCAGTTTCTTCTACTTCTTGGCTCTCTTATGTATCCTGCTGTTCTTCCAACGGCACTGACGTGTGGACGTCGCCACCAGAAGAAGATCCCTATACTTCAAGAAGTTCTTGGTCGTCACCAGTCCTCTCTTGGGTAGATAACTATAACTCATCTTCAGCAGACACTGTGTTCATCGCAAGGAGCCATGAACTTCTGCTGCTTCTTGAGACGTCTGAACAGGCAATGTTATTGTTTCAATTTCTATGGTATCATTTTCCTTGTCAGTTATCACCTCTGCTGTTGCCTCTTGAGCTGGACATGGTACCATCAAGGTCCTTCGTCTAGGAGTGGGAGTGGGTCTCTTCTTAGGCTTGTTGTCCTTTGCTTTTAAGATAGCTCCAATAGGTAGTAGATGATTACAGTGTAAAGTCCTCTTACGTCCTTCACCAGATTTCTTGTGGGCAACAAACACAGGAATGTCCATGTTGGGCTGCTCCATAACTATGTGCACATCCTCATCCCATCTGTCTGCCAGTTTGTGTCTTCCATCAAATGCCCAAGCCTTCACCAGCACTCTGTCTCCTACCTCTATGGTTCCTCCTCTAACCTTCAGGTCATATCCGGCCTTCTGTCTGTCTTGAGCATTGCGTGTGGTCTTGGATGCCTGCTCATAGGCATTCCTGAGTCGTTGCCTGAGGGCCTTGGTGTACTGATACTCTGACTTCTTATCTCTGTTGAGCTCTAGTCCAAAGGCAAGGTCGATGGGTAATCTAGGTTCACGTCCTAACATGAGGAAGAATGGGGTCTGACCGGTGGTCTAATGGCGGATGCAATTGTATGCATGAACTAAATGTCCTACATAGTTCTTCCAATCTCGTTTCTTGTCAGGTGATAAGGTGCCCAGCATGTCACAGAGGGTCCTGTTAAATCTCTCACACATGCCGTTCCCGTGGGATGATATGGAGTTGTCCTCGACTTTTTTATGTTGAGTAAGTCACACAATTCCC